TGACGCCACTGTCCGTCAAAGACGAGCCCACAGTCCAGTGGCCCACAGAAGAGGGCGCGTACTATACGTTTATAATGACAGACCCGGACGCCGGAGCGCGGGCTGAGTTCAAGCACTGGCATGTCGTCGATATACCGGGCAATGATCTCTCGGCGGGCGAAACGTTGGCTCATTTCATGGGATCGGCGCCACCGGCGGCCGACGCACCGCATCGATACGTATTCCTGGTATACAAACAACCCTCGGGTCGACTCAACCACTCGGAGACGCCGTCCCCTAAAGAGGGATTTGATGGCCGACCGTATTTCAAAGTCAGCGAATTTGCTAAGAAATATAATTTGGGCCAACCCTATGCCGGCAACATATATCTGGCCAAAGGGGACGCCCACTCAGCGCAGGTTAGGGCGGGCTGGGGTATTCCCGCTTGATCAACTCAATAAATTGTGATTGAATTACCAAAATATCATGAATAAAATATTGTTTAAAGTGTTATATTCTTAATTATTTTGTTTCCTTAAACCAATCAATGAAATTATAGTTGTAAAGTTAGTTAGCTTTAAATTATAACTTTAGTTACAGCAAATGTGAAGCCATCGACAGCACCGCAGGTCATAACAGTCGACACAACGACCACAACAACCGGTGCTAAGAGACTGTCGATCAAACCCAAGAGAGCGAGAAGTCATAAATTAAGGTTTCAAATGATTATCACGTGTTTAGTGTTTGACTTAATTATTTGCAAACAATTAATTGTTTTATTTATTATATATCTTAAAGTTATAAAGACTAGGAGTTGTGGCATAACATCGACGAAGACGTCGATTTAAGTCTAATGCAATCGTCTAATAAACTAACTTTAAATTGCATAACAAATAGACATTTTGCAACAATTATCGTATGAATGCATTATTTCGTGAAACAATATTGTAAATAAATGAAATTAATGAATTTAAACTAACGTTATATTTATTGTTATAATAAAATACAAACTTATTCTCAATATTCAAACAGTTATTACAATTTCTGCCAACAGTTCTTCATTTTTACACAAAAAATGATTGCAATTATTGTATTAATTGTGTCTTTAAATGCTATTTACTGCGAAACAGATTTTTGCAAATTGATGAAAACTAATGAAAAATATGAAGGCATACATGTGTTCAGATCCGGTGTTAATAAAGTGAATGTCATGTATAATAATGGCACTCAATGGACATTTAACATTGATTCTGGACTTATTCACATGTCTTTGACACACGATAACCACTCAATTAGTAAAGATATTATCAATAGATTTAGTGGCAATGGTTACGATTGTGATGTCAAGTATCAGGTTATTATAGATAGGGTTTTATTTTATTAAACATTTATAAAATATTTATATTAATTTGAATTGATTTTAAAGTTTCCAAACAATACCCTTATTGTCACCAATTGTTCCAATACCAAGACTGACACGACCTCTCAATACGATCCAAAAGCTATCATATTTCGGGCGGCGGAACAGATAGCCAACAATTGGGTCGGAGTTTACAACAAAACTTTACGAAAAATATCGTGTTATTCGCCGGAAGAGAAAAGAGTTGTGACAAATGAAACCGAATGCAAACAATTGTTTGGACGAAATAAAACAGTGATCGAAGCCATCGACTCATCGGTTGTTGACACTATCGATGGTATCGTTGAGTTTGCGGGCAAATCTACAATCAGAGGATATCATATATTCTTCAGACGAGACGGACGGCCAGTCTTTTGCACCAAATATATGGGCGAAACCGATAATACCGTATATTTATTATCAATTATTGTATAAAATTTGTTAATTTGATCATATGTTTAGTGCAAAGAGAAGGATGACATCACTCCTATACGGGAGGACTGTTTCCCTCCGCCTCCACCGCCGGAGAAGAATTGGTTGGCGAAGTTGGGACTAATTGTTGGAATCATCGTCGCTGTCATCGTTGTCATAATAGTCGTGTTATTGATCTGCTATTGTGTGGCGAAGAAAGTTTGGCCACAAAAAGGTAAAAACATAAAACATTTTATAATTTCTATAACAAAATTAACAAAATATTTTCTATGAAATAACCGTTTATTTTTCCAGTCGACACAGTCTTAAAATCTGCTTCAACTCTCTTATCCTTTACACGCGATCCGACCCAAAGTATGTGTCGTGTATTTGATTGTTTAAATACATGTTTTACCAATTAATAGATCACTTCTAATGCAATCATTCATTTATTTACAGGCGAACCGACCGATAAACCGTCGGACCCGACACAACCATCGACACCATCACTACAACCGCCAGTCTTAGCGGACGATTCAACGCAAACCACACCACATTCTACTCCGATTGAACGCAGAATACGTATGTTTAATGTTTGACATCAATATTACAATCAATTAATGTTTAGCTTATTAATAATACATTCATTTATAGCCCCGGAATCGAGAAGAAAACAGAAACCACCACCTGTTAGTCCATTGGCACAACCGTCGGTCTCAAGAACTGTCCCAAAGGCCCCGCCGACAGGTGTTAAGAAACAGGTGTCTGAAAAGCCAGTCCGCAGTCCTCTCCTATCAGAGCAAAGAGGTATGTGTTGTGTGTTTGAGATAATTATTACAAACTATTAATGTTTTGGGTATTAATAATGCATTCATTTATAGCTCCAAAATCGGGTGGAAAGAAGAGATCACATGCGAGTCAATCAACAGCACCGCCGGTGGCACCAGCCGTCCCAACGCCCGGACCAACCCCTCGACAGCAAGAGGTGCCGCGAATCCCCGACAGAGATCTCACACCAGAGCAAAGAAGTATGTGTTTAGTGTTTGAGATAATTATTACAATTATTAATGGTTTTATTTTTTATATCTAAAGAGGAACGAGAAAAATATCACAAAATGTTAAGGATAAATACAAAACCATATTAAAACATCACAACAATTGCATGGTTTTAATTATTAGATTTTTATATTTTCTATTCGTATATATTCTGCACATTTCGTCACAATTTATGACTTTTAAATTCTATTGATTTTTTTAAATTAGAAATTGTATATAAATTGTACTTTATTTTATCTATATTTGAATTATTTTATTAGTTTTATTTTTATATAATTTTGTTTTTTATAATTATAAAAGTTTGTAAATATTTTTTTTAAATTACATATAAATATTTCGAATTGTATTTATAATAAAGAACTTTTATTATTATATAAAATTGAATAAAAACTTATTTTTAACTGAAATTTACACTAAAAATAATTGAATTTAAACTTACGTTATATTTATTGTTATAATTAAATGCAAACTTATTCTCAAATTTTCAAACAGTTATTACAATCTCTGCCAAACAGTTCTTCACTTTAACACAGAATATGATTGTAATTCTTGTATTTATTGTGTCTCTAAATGCCATCCGCTGTCAAATGTCTGCCTTTTTGTGTGAATTAACGAAAACTAATGGCAGATATAAAGGCATACAAGTGTTCAGATCCAGTGTTCAAAATAAAGATCTGATGTATAATAATAGCTATTAATAGGCGATTATGGTGAACTTGCGAACTAATAGATTACATATTAATAATGCATTCATTGATAGCTTCAGTAATGGTATTACCATCAGAATCCGGCACCACAATGAAGCTCAACCCTACGACTACACAACAGACTACTACCGGTACACAAACGGTGCCCAAACCCGCACCGGGAGAACGTCCGCGTTCAAGATGTGTGTCTAATCTTTAATATAATTATTGCAAACAATCAATGATTTGCTTATTAATAATGCATTCAATTATAGCCCCGGAATCGAGTGGAAGACAGAGATCACCAAAACGAGTGCCGGAGACAAAGCCCGCCTCAAATCCTGTCTCAAAGCCCGCCTCAAAGGCCGCACAAACCCGGGCTAAGGAACCGATGGGACTGCAGACCGGTCGCGATCGTCCGCCCATTCCTCTATTGCCAAGAGGTATGTGTTTAGTGTTTGATATAATTATTAGTAATAAATTTATTACAAACAATTCATTCATTGATTTATTATATGAAAAGATGCGAAGACTAAGAGTCCGGACAACACTTCTTAGAAGACTTCACCAAAAAATACAAAATAAAAGAGAAATAAAATTTCAAAAATTGAATGTTTTTTATTTATTATTTTTTCTATTCCTATATTACTGTAAACTTTGTCACAATTTATGAATTCTATTATATTATTGAAAAATTATATTTTTTATTTATTTGAATTATTTTATTAGTTTTTTAAATACAATTTGTAATTAAAAATTTGTAAATATTAATTTTTAATTTTATATAAATACCGTTTTTTATACAAATCTCAGCATTGAACAAATTAATTTCGCAATCGGTTTTTATTACTTTTAAAATGTCATTTTATATGATTAAATACTCAAATAAATTCAATTTTGAGTTAATTGTAAGTTAAAATATTCTTATGTTTGTATTATATGAGCGATAAGTTAAATCTTTTATTAATAACACAGCGATTTATATAATAAAAGAGTAGACATTTGTATGGTTAGCATCTTTTCTGTCTGGTATTTAATTACAGTAAATGTCGAACAAAAATAATACTTTAATTAATAATAAGATTAATTGATGATGGTAAAACACTTGTAAAGTATTCACAGTTTTATATTCACTAAATAAATAATAAACATTTTTTGCATAAAAATTGTGTAAAATAACAAAACAGCTAAGTTGAGAAAACAGCTATCCGAGCGACCCATCAAACTGTGCCTGAAAGTAGTTGATGGCCACGGGTTGGCCCAACCGATTGGTCTTTGCGTACTCTAAAGAATGGACGACCGGTCAGGGAATGAATGTATTTTGAATGAATTTTGAGCGCAAATGTTAGGAAGGAATACGTTATGTATAACAATGGAAATCAATGGGGGCTTAGATTTGAGACAAAAAGTCTTGAAATAGTTTTCCAATGATTAAATCGTTCGTATGATAAACAGATCGTCAATAGATTTAGTGGTAATGATTACGACTGTTATGTCAAATACCAGGTTATTATAGATTGCATTTTAGTTATCATAATATTAATGACACATTTATATTCTAATCCTTATAAGGGTAATTTTTACACTCAGTGTAAATTTTTTAAAAAAATTGAATGGTCATTTATGTACTATTACTATTCTATTCATATATAATGTAACCAATGATTGTGAATGGGGTTTAAACTTAAAAATATTGACTAATATATTAATTTAAATGATATTTATTAAAACTTTTAATTAATCAATTAATTGTTACATTTAATTAATAAAAATGATTTCGTAATATATAACTTTTATTTCATGAGAGAGAGAGAGAGAGAGAGAGAGAGAGACTATTTATCAGACACTTTAGGTCCCAAATGTGTCGGCGCAAAAAAGTGCTCATCCGATGCCCAGAAGGGTTAAATATTTAAATTATTTTTTAGTTTTATTTTTATTTTGCATTTAGTTTTTTATTTTTCTTCACTCAAAAGTATATACTTTTTTAGTTATAGTCGTCTTTTAATTGCATTTTAAAACTCTTGAGAGTCGCGTATAATAGTTGTGTGCGTAATGTTATGTATAATATAAATTGCTAAGGTAAGAACAAAAAATGTTAATTAACGACCATGGTTATATGATGGCTCTGTGTGAGCAGACTTCAGGTGTTTAGCAGCCAGACCTACGAGCTAAATATAATGTCTATGCTCGCAAAAAGCTTACTGTTAGGGTTATTGTATTAATACCGGGGTGAAAGTTGTTTTGCATTTAGCACTTTAAAAATATTTAAATTTTTAAATTAGATATTTATACAAATTGTTTTTGTTTAAAGTTTACTGAATCTCATTTTGTGTTGCATAAGAAACTTAATTTTTATTTATAATAACTAACTTGTTATTAATCTATGAATTAGATTAACACGTTACATTTATTTATTTGTTCAAGGTTAGAAAAATAACCCACTTACATAATATTGATTGGTCTAGATGAAATTACTTTTAGTAGGAAATTCAATATTTAATTAAATACTTAAATCAATAAAATATAAAACAAATAAAAATCTATTTAAACTCTAGACTACATTAATGTCTGGACATATAATATATAAACATCTTATAAAACGCTATTAATATACTGGTTGTACACTATTTGTTGAGTATATTATATACGGTATACACTAAACGATGTGTTTTCAATGCCAGCAATAAATAAATATAAAAATCAAAACTTATTTTCACAAAACAAAAAAACTTTTCAAACATTTATCAACAATAATAAGCAAACTATCGGTTAATCGTGTAATCGATATATATTTTTATTGACTAAATAACTCGTTAATAATGGTATAACTCGTTATAATACAGTAGACATTTAATGTACATATTATTTATGTTTACATGTAAGTTATAATATAAAGTATATTTGTGTTATGCAATCGCAGATTAATAATATATATATTTAAAATATTTTCTTATTTTAATCCTTGTTTGCAAAAACATTTAATATTGAAGTTTTCATTTCCTTATGACTTTCTGTATAGTGTACAGCAATATAGCAGCAAAAATAAAA